ATCCTGAGTTAGCTTAGTCGGGCTTTGAACAACGCGGCCCGGCAAGTTCGTGAAAGTAATCGGTTCCTATTATATATCGCGAAAGGATCACCAAGATTTCTTTTCAAGATCAGACACCGCGACGTTACCATAGTCTTACGGAACCGTGTTGTCATGGAATTTAAATTCTTGTTAAAGTAAACTCGTAAACGCCCATTTTCCTGCAACCTCTTCGGATATTTTCCGATCGAGATAAAACAATTACAGTGGTACCTCGATATAAAGAAGGGTCAAGATATGTTCCCTACAACGTAACTATGTTTCGTTAGACTGTATCGGGATTTCTTTCCATATATTTTACTATTACTGGGGCGAAGAATATCGTTCGTTATAACGAGGACTTCGTTATAAAGAGGTTCGTTAAATCGAATTCTCACTGTAAACAGTTTAGCACACCCGAATAATATCTCTTGTAAATAAAAAAGCACAGTACGCAATAACATCAGACACTATCTGCTCTCCATGCAAGCTGACAAGTTAAACATCGATATTTGCCAATTTTAGTGACAGCCATATATGGACGTGTGTTTATAACATCTTTTCCATAATACTGGCATCTGGCTTTATACAAGCAATTATAGCACAACTGGATGGGCGATAGCAAACGGTATCATCTTGTTTGGGGTAATAAGCGTAAGTTTGCATCTTTGTGGATAAATTTTGATGAGTTAACTCATTTATCATGTTTTCTGATATAAAAGTTGATGTAAACAGATGTACTTTAACTTCTCTCGATGGAGGACTCTTTATTGCTGTGAACTGCTTGATAAGTGTTATTGGAAGTTCAGGGAACATCTTTGTCTGTCTCACCGTCCTGTTTACACCAAGGCTACAAGTTGTGTCAAATTACTGCATCGTGAATTTAGCTTTGGCCGACCTCATAGTCAATGTACTGACTGAGCCGCTAGCTATTGCGATTTTTGTTGGTAAACTTCACGGCACATGTTACGTGAGAGCTGAACACGCCGCTCGTTTTATTGGAAATTTGTCATGTGCATTATCCTTATTAACTCTGGCGACGATGAGCTTCGATAGATGTTTCGTCATCTTAAAACCTATGAAATATAAACAGGTCGTCACCCCAACTCTTTTAAAGTCCATGCTGATATTTTATTGGTTTTTGGCGTTGATTGTGCCCATCTTGGACGCATTTGTAGAAGACAAACTTGTCTACATACATTTTATTCTTTGCGGGATTATTATTATGTATTCAGTTGTAATTATCTGTTATTCAGCAATCTTCATATCTGTTCAAAAACAGAACTCTGTCAGGCAAAGAGAGCTTCAAAATCACCAATCTGCTAATAACGAAAAGGACAAGAGACTCGCCAAGACTATTGCGCTTGTCATAGGTTTCTTCACAGTGTTTTGGATGCCATTTGGATATCACATTGCTAAGAGCCCACAAAAAAATTACGGACTCAGTTATATAGCTTCAGTTACAGCTAGTTTTGCAAACTCTGCCATTAATCCTTTAATATACTTTTATAGAAACAAATGTTTTCGCGATGCTCTGAGAAGAATTCTTAGTAACTGTCATCGTAGACACATAGTGAACCCTCTACGTGCATCGCTACAAAACCCGACTAACAACAATGCAACACCCACAGCTTTACAAAGAAGGATCCCTTCCAAGAACGTAGGTGATATGAAACTGCAATGAAGATGCCAAATACTGCAGCTTCTTACAGAAGGTTCTGATGAGTTATTAGAGGCATCAAGACAAGAAACCAAACTTTGAACAGATAGACAAAATAAAAGTTATGGTGTGCATCTTATGTTTTGAAGTTGCAAAAAAATTCTGCAGCTATAAGTAGATTTAAAAATTTATTTGAGGAAAGATGTGTAAAACAGTTTCTTTTCATGTTAACTATCATATCTTTATGTCTACAAACTACGTTTAACCTTTTGTGATAGTGCATTCGGTATTGAGCATGAGTCATTTAGCTTCAGCTGTTCTGGTGCACTTGTTTTCGAAGGAAAACACAACAAGAAACTCATCCGCCTCTCAAAGCACCAAAAAATATTTATAGCTCGCGGTGGTAAAAACATGTTGTATCCATGTTTGATCGGTTGATCATCAAAGATTATATGAAGTACTGTTTGTCACTTTGTATATAAGTTATTTTAATAAACGTTGTGCAAAAAGATGCCTCGCTCAAGAAGTGCATTTCCTCATTTCCTTCTTAGCTATTATCATAATATGGGCTTATTGACTGTGGGAGGGTGTGACGGTAAAAATTATTCTGTCGAGGTCTGAACGCAGCCATGGGACTGACAGCAACCAGGTCCGTATAAAATGACCCACAGTTTATCCGTCCGGCCCTAGCTGCTGCATACATTCTCTTACCTTGCTGTCTGTATTGAATTTGATTTTGTTGCGAAGTTGTGAAAATGTCTTGCTAAATTTCCTGAATAGGGTGCGCTAATTTTCAGGCGAGTATTAGGTTACTGGACCGGCCCTGCACACGTCAACAACCGCGCAGTATTTTTCTGTCTGATTGTGTGCGGCAGTAGTATGAGGAGAACACTTGAACGTCTGTTTAACGGCCAAACGGCTGTGCACTGTTTGTGGAGGTTTTGGGCGCAAAAGACTTTTTCTTCTAAGAGTGACTTTCTCATTTTCAAAGCAAGGCGCGAGGATGAAATGGTCTGAAATTTCCTCTTAATAAAACTTCAATTAACATAACTATAACACATGCCGACTTTTATTACAGCTGCCTTGAGGTTGACAACTTCCCTGACGACACGGCAAACATTTCGTCTACTGGACCAACGCAATTTCCGCCTCGTCATACAGTTCATCGAATTGCCGGGGCAATACGCTGATGTAAATTGGATAATTAGGTAGATTATCGGTGTTTTTTGGCTGTATATTTCGCTCTCAGAACAAAATTGGGTTCCCACAAGAAAATAACAGTGTTTACGTGCCTAATTATGTAAATTACGCTGAAAACGTGAGCAGAATATCCCTTGAGGAAGTGAAGCAGACAAAGCAAACTATCCGTACGTTATATAATCGTTTTTGTTGGCGGCTAAATAAAATGCTTTGCAATGAAGTGACAGCTAATTTCTTTTAGTTTTCAACTTCCACATTTGCTGATCTTTTTGTTTTCTGAAGTGAAATGTCAACACAAATTCTTTTGGCACCCCAATGGCGGATATTGTTTAGTACTTCTGGTCGGAAATCGTTTTTCAAATTATGATATTCAATAAGAGCCTCACAGGAGTTTTGCGAAACTAAGGAACGTGGTCATTAAGGGATAATTATTAGATCGAGTTGAAGGAACAAGAGATATCTCTGTTATTCTAAGTTCTTAAGTCTCGGTGATGTATTTTTAGCCTTGTGATTGGTTTACGGACTCTTGGTTGCCAGCTACCATTTCAGCTGAGTTTGACCGCATACGGAAAATAAATCCGGCAAGTGTCATGTATTTTAGGATTTTTCGCCCATAATGGAAAATTTTGTCAGAAAAAACGGCTGAAAACGGCACATTTCCTCGTAGGGGCCAAGCACGGTGCTTGCATAGTAACCCTTTGACGCCCAAGGAGTCATATACGGTACTTAATGGTCGTGCTCTTTGTACCACTTGTGACGTCATCAATTTGAATATCACTAGTTATTAAATTCTCAGCCTCGGATAATGCAATTCTAACTTTCTGATTGGTTCACTGGATCTCGGTTAC